AAAAAAAGAGACCAAACGCAAGTTCAAAATCAGAAAGATAAACGTTAAATAATGCCAGCTAGGTTAAGAGACGTCACTTCGTGTGAGAAGGCGCGAGGCTCATGGTGGATGATTTACGAAACCATCTCTTGGTTCCTCTGAGGCGTGCGAACCAGATAGCAATCAAGCACATGGAAATGAAGAGTTCTGTGCAACCCAGGCCTATGCAAATCTTTCCCTCAACAGTTAGCTCACAGTTTTACTTAATTTTATATTAAGAGTGGCTGGAGGGCATATTCAAAGCCGTACACAAAAAGCCTTCTCAAATTAGAGGCTGAAATTAAATGAAAGTCTCTCTTCACCTCTGTAGTCCTGCTGGATGCCACCTCGCTTTTACTTCCTTGTTAATTCGTAATTTGCCCACGGGGCGAATCGGTCAAACACTCGATTTGATCTTCCACCGATAACGATGATAGTACCTTCCACCCTGTCTGTGAACACGAGCAGCCCGATTATTATTGCGAACTTACCACTCCATCTTGTCATCCAGCTTAAAAAGCAGCTTTAAAGTCACGATGATCAGGGCCGCAGCTTGGATGTCGTAGTTGAGGGGCTGTGTTTTTTTATGCAAGGGGTCATAGGTCAGGAAGGCCTCCTTGCCCATGCCAGTGTGGCTGATCACCCGGCAGACCCAGCTGTGGAGCTCATCTTCCAAGAACGCAAAGAGAAAACAAAAAACAAAACTTAGCGCGGCTTCACAACTCCCTGCTATTACAGCAGTTACAGCGCAAAACATAACAACACATTCTGATATCGGTCTGATATTATAAGATATTCCTGACTTTGATACAGATCTCAAAGCGTTTTTTCTGCTTCCACTTGAAAGCCTCAAGCCTCACATTAAAAGACACATTTTGGAGGCAGGCTGAAGCGGGCAGGCCTGTGCGCCCCGACAGAAGCAGCGCCTCGGATCGTTTTATTCCACCGACCATCGAGAAGTCCGACCCACCGCAGGGCGCTGCGGCAGGGTCGCCGAAGGGCTCAAGCGCACCGTCTTTCGTCATTCACCTGGTAAGTTGGCCTCCATGAGGTACTTGATGCAAAGCACGCTGGGATGCAGGAAGCAGTCCTCTGTGATTGGTGGAAAGCGCGGCAGATCCAGGAACACTGCCACGCGGTGCGCCTCCTTCTGAACGCTCTTATGTGAAGGGATGGACTGCAGGCCAGAACACACGAGAAAGAGCGTCACTCCTTTCACTGTACAGGGGTCGCACACGACAGCTCATCTCAAACCTTTTCTTGACATGAAAAGGAGCGGCGCCGGGGGTAGGTCTCTTGGCGTATGGCTGTCGGGTTGAAGGTTCGAGTCTCAGCTGCAGACGCTGCTGTTGTGCCCTTGATAAGAGGTGCTTCACCCCGATTGCCCCAGTGCTCCCAGCTGCACCAATGGGGGTACGCTCTGTGGTGGACAGGGGCCCCAGTAATGGGGAGAGTCTTGTGCTCTCTGTCCATTTATCGCCATGGAACCTACGATGAGCCCTGCCTTGATGAGCCACTGTGTTTGGTAATCACTACATAAAACATGGACTGGGACAAAGCCCACGAGATTTGCGTAATAAAGGAAAAGGGTGTAAATACATAGAAGTTGTCTTTATCGGGACTGCTTGTAAGTGGCACCTAGTGTTATCGGCACCTCTCATTAGAAAAAGAAATGTTTCTGGATCGTTAGATGGGCAGAAAGGCCAATGCAAGTCTGCAGGAATACTAACAGAGGGAAGCAGCACTATTATATCAGCAGGTTCCTCCAAACGCAGTTCTTGCACCAGAACACGAAGCTCCGTGACCTTCATGTCAGCATCTTTTCAGGATTATTTTGGATTCAACACCAGGTGTTGAAAGGTGTATGCAAAGGAGCGTCATTTCAAAAAGGCTCAAACTAATTTTCAAAATTCCTTCACGGTGTGGCGCCCACGTCTCATACCAACAGCAAAAATGGACATCAGCTGGAAATTATAGGAAGAAACAACTTCCGAAACTCCAACAAAAGCCAAAAGCTGGCCAAGGAGATGTGAAATGCAACAGGAAATAAAGAACAACAACAACAATAATAATAATTCCTACACTTATATAGCGCTTTCCTGGACACTCCACTCAAAGCACTTTACAGGTAATGGGGACTCCCCACACACCAGCTCTCAGTGCGGAGGAGAACAGAGTGATGAGGCCAGTTCAGAGATGGGGATTATTAGGAGGCCATGACTGGTAAAGGCCAGGGGGAAATATGGCCAGGACTCCGGGGTTACATCTCTGTTCTTTTCGAGAAACGCCCTGGGATTTTTAATGACCACAGAGAGTCAGGACCTCAATTTTACATCTCATCCAAAGGACGGCATCTTCTTTACAGCACAGTGTCCCCGTCACTATACTGGGGCATTAGGACCCACATAGACCGCAGGGTGAGCGCCCCCTACAGGCCCCACTTCCAGCAGCAACCTTAGTTTTGCCCAGGAGTCTCCCATGCAGATACGAACCAGGCTCACACCTGCTGAGCTTCAGTGGACCTGCCAGTTGTGAGCTGCAGGGTGACATGGCTGCTGAATGTGGGTGAATAAAAATCCCTAAGTGAGACACTGCGGTTGTACCCTTGAGCAAGGCACAGCACCCAAATTAATTCAACCTATGGGGTTGTCGCTATAAATGGGTGCATTTACACCGCTGGTACACATGTTAACATCAGCCAAGTAAGGCTGCACCGTCAATCAACGAAAAAATCCTGACAGGCAGGCACACAAGAGCGCGATTATCTCCAAGCCCGGTTACCGCCACTGAGGCACAGCAGGCGGGAGCGCCAGCAGGCGAGGGGACAAACCGGAATGGCGATGATCGAGGGGCGAGTAGGAACAAGCACGAGTTTCTGTTGCACAACACCGCTCGGGCGAGCCGATTACACTCATTCAGTGGGAACCAGAACGGCGCTCACAAGCAATGTGTTCCTGTGCCGCCACTCGCCTCGCGTGGGCGCAGCGCATCGGAGAACGAGAGAGGCGGAGCAGGGAGCGAGACTGGCACAACCCGCGAAGGACGGTCACACAGGGGGGGGTCCCTGCCCGTCTTCCGTCAGGCCGCAGACGCCTGGATTCCGGTGGGCCGAGGTCTCTGAGACCCTGCACTTCTTGTGAAGCTGCTGAGAATTTTCAGGAGTTTATACTATCGAGGTCCGTTTCTGTAGTACCTGGGGCAAGACATCTTTTTCTTAAAAAAAACCCCAGAGACCACCCTCCCTCCCCCCCAGGTCTGCAGGTTTCAGACGATACTCAAGGTGACCTCCGTTGAGGAGTGAAGTGTGGAAACGTGGAGTTGGCTCAGGAGGAGGAGGTGGGGGGGAGGCAGAGACTGTTTTTCTGCTCGCACGTCTCCAGTTACGCCAACAAAAGACAGGGATGACATACTAAATAAGGCTTATTTGTTTTCTTTGAACTCCAAGAGAAACTGTCTTCTTTTTTTTTTCCAGCGCTTGGCATTAACCCCTGCCCCGATCTGAAATAATAAACGCCACTGGCTGACAAGCGCAGAATCTGTCAATAGCCCTCGCTGTATGGACTCCCCCCCACCAGGTCGGGTGAAAGGACTGACCTTGGAACGAAGCGAAACGGCAGTCGCGCCTGGTGTGAAAAGGGTGGCCTGGGGGGGCCTACAAGGTGCCCGTTCTCCTAACCGCTGGGGCCAGACAACTGAACGCGGCTCAGTACACAGAGGTGCCCGCTGCCCTCACGCTTCTCAAAGAAGAACCGATTGGTGCCGCCCACCTCACCCGGAAAACCGCCCCGCGGCCAGCGGGAAGTCAAGGAGGAGCCCTCGCGAGCGGACGGCTCGCGGCGTCACGTCTCGGCCCGGGAGACAAGAGCAAGAGGCCTGGGCGCGAGGCACTCCCGCGCGCCCGCGCCCCTCTGCACACACGCGCCCAGCCCCCCCCAGCGGCGCCTCCTTCTGCCACAAGAGGGAGGCGCTGGGCGGAGTCTGGTGCTCTCCAGCGTGGGCCAACTTTGGCCCGGCGTCCTTCCCGATTCAAGTTGGCCTGTTAAAAAAACCTATCGCTTCGTATGCTGGAATTTGGTAAACGTTGCTCATGTTATGGCTGTACAATGTTTTTATTCATAAAAAAGAAATTAGTTTCAGATATACAACAACTCCCAATGCAGGGTTGCAGCTAATTAATTAATTAATTTAAAAAAAAGTGTCACATAACTGTTAAGAAAGAAAAATTCCAGCATGTCCAGCAGGTGTGTTGCTTCTAAGTAATTTTGCGTTCGTTTGTTATAAACGACCGGTATAAGGTTGCAGAGATTTTTAAAATTCAAAAAACGTTTGTCACCAAGCTCAACCCCGATGCCTCCTTCTCTCAGCCTGTAGCCAAAATGTGACAAAAGGTCCATATACTCTTCTAGGCCACTTTGAAAAGCCCCAGCTTTTCACAAGATGTGGGAAAACGGCACGCAAGACAGCGCTATCCAGAAAGAACTAATAACTAATAAAGAGCGAATAACTACAACAGAGTAGCTTCAGCAGAGTACGTTCACATGACTACTGGAAAGAAGGTCATCTGACGGGGAATGGGAAATGATCCTGTTTTTCCTGATATTTTAGTGGTAGAGCTGGGCTTTCCAGTCTCAATTCTTCCTCCCCGCCTCACCCTCACGGAAAACTCTTGCTGTGGACAGAGGGCGGGGGGGAGGGGGGGGTTATTGATGTAGAAATGGAGGGGTAAGAGCACAATGGTGGGGACTTTGAGCTGTATGATAGGCTATTCACCCTCCACTCATGCCCACAACCAGGCTCATTACACTAACAGCACCACGAGGGCCCATTAAAACCCGCGAGATGGCGACCGAACGGGGAACGACCAGACGCTGACCCGAGCGAAAGCCGTCTCCGCCACACAAGCCGGGTGATGAGCCCAAAGCGCTCAGTGACAATTATCAGTATAAACAGCTCCTGTCGTTTCAATAACTAGATCTTTCTGGCTTTGGAGCACTTCAAGACGGCCTGATCTCCTGGAACTTACTGTCCTAGAGGAAGTGTATCCAGGGCCCCACTCTCCCCTCTTCCTGTCAGCTCTTGGGAATCTAGCACCGAATTTGTATATAACCTCACAAACAAACACCAGAACCAAAACCGCATCCCTCTTGTCACACTACTCCTGCAGCAGCAGGTCCGGCTGTACAGTATGTGTGTTCCCCCCCTCCTCCATGATGAGCTGAAGCAGTATACTTTTTAAAGTTAGGTTATCGCTTCATCTAGAAAGAGCAATAAAAAAGAAAATTGTGTGGGTTTGCACAAAGATTTCATTCGGTCCCTCCTGGCCCTGCACGTATAATTGAGAGCTACAGACAGTGACACATAACCACGCCTTAAATGAGAAATAACAGGTTCTTAGAATTTGCACTAAAACGGCACATAGTGAATAAAAGGAAAACGTTGGCACAAGGCCCCGCAGAAATGATCCTCCCGTGCAGGTTCCGCATGAGACGCAACAGCTTCTCTATGTACAGCGATATAACTCGAACTAATCGCACGTCCTACATTGATTCAACAGTGGACACAATTTTAGCTTGGTTCCTAAAGCAGCCATGGATATAATTTACAAACCTCACCCTCAGTATTTCTAAACAAAGCGAAACCGGACAGGAATAACATATTTCTTAACTAAACCAGCACACAAAGCAAATACATTGGGACAAAATGTAATCGCCGCCTTGCAATAGCAGTTAGAATGCACTTTGAAGCGTTGCACTCTTCTGTGCATTTTCAGATCACAAGAACGTCTTAAAAACTGCGGGAACAAACAGTGAAGTGTGGTTTCTCCAGAGTTAACTGCAACACCGAGCACATGACTTCAGCAGAGGCTGAGCCCTTCATCTGTAAACACAAATGCCTCAGGGGTTTCATTTAAGACCATGCAAATGGGTTTTTGTTTCCACCGCAAATATTTAAAGAGCATGTTTTGCATACACAGAAGGATGGCCCTAATTCAAAGTTAAATAAGTTGCATGTAATCGTCTACGTTTACCTTCTCCTTACTGTCCAGAATATGTTATGTGCATTAATGTTGTTGCTTCAGTGTCTGTTTGTCATGCCATCTAGCTCTTCTTGGAATTTTTTTTTCCTGAAAACATTGTACAAAAATACCGCCAGGTCACAGGCAGAAAAAACAAACGATGACGTGCCCTTTCTGTTCCTGAAACAGAATCTCCATCTTTACTACTATTTCCAGGCTATGCCAAAATTGGGAAACTATTGGGAAAATTAAGTGGGTTGATAAAAAAAAAACCTTTTGATTTCTCCTTTCCCCAGCTACATTTACACCCCAAAGGTTGTGGCTGCACACTGGAACCATTTCTCATCTGCTCGTCGATTCGCTGAACATTAGGTGGGAGTTAGAAAGCTGCTACCAAATCATATGGCTGAAACCGATACCCTGGCTTTTTCAAGAAACAGCTGGATGAGATCCTTGGAGTCAATTCGCTACTACCAAAGGGTCTACCTGAGCCGAATGGCTCCTCTTCTTCAGAGCTCTACCGATGCCCTCATGTTCTTAATGGGATATAGACAAGTCTACCACAGCAAAAGGTCAGCCGGTTTCTTGGTGCAGGAGGTCTGAAGCCATTTCGGAAGATAATAATAATAATTAATAATTGCTTACACTTATATAGCGCTTTCCTGGACA